GGCTTGTGGTTGGACTTCATGATGTTGAAGGTCTTTTCCAACCACAATGGTTCTATGACTGCATTGCATTCCATGATTGCAGCTGCACCTCCAGCTTCACCAGGGCCAGGACACGGCTCCAAGGAGGGCTGCTCTCTCAGGGTAGGAAAAACAGCCAGAAGGAAGCCGATTTCCTGAAGATACCTTCTATATTCCCCCATACATCTTGGCAATGCAGAAAGCAAATGTGAGCACAGAACCCTGGTTCAAAACAAAACCCAAGTGCTTTGTGGTATCCGGTATCCACAGGAAAGGACAGGAGTTTTGCCTGGAAATACCATAATACCATAATAATAAACGGTCATTTTTATCTCCCACTGCGCTCATGAGAGGATGCAGCACGATGTTATTTCGCTAACAGTTAAGAACATTTCTGTGACTTCGATGTGTTAATAGCAGCTGTATCTCTGACCGCCTTATGCCACAACTGCTGGAGCCCAAATAAATCCTCTCAGCAGATCCATGTTGACCTAACACTGTTAGCTCCGGCCGGCTCCAGGGACGGAGGCTCCACAGGGCAGTTTGCTCCAGGGTTTGGTCACCAACAAAGAAACGTTTTCTTATGTTCGGAGGGAATTTCCTGCCTTTGTGCTGCCTCCTGTCTCTGCTGAGAAGCATCTGGCTCCATCTTCTCTGCATCCTCCCTTCAGCTCTCCATACCCATCAGTGGAGGCTCCCCCGAAGCCTCCTCTGCCCACTGAGCAGCCCCAGCTCAGGTGGCCTCTCCTTGGCCACAAGATGCCACAAGGGCTGAGGGTGACAGGGACCATCCAGGCCAACCCCCTGCTCCATCGGGGACACCCAGAGCACGGGGCATCCAGGCGGGTTTGAAGATCTCCAAAGATCTTCTGAAGATGCTCCAGGTTCTTAGCTGTGCTCATTCCCCAAGGTCCATTCCAGGTGGGTTTTAGCTACCCTGGGTTTTCCACACTCCGTCTCCTGCTGCTCTCCCTTCTCCGTGTTTGCTTTGGGTTTATCCAGGAGCTCCTCATCCATCCGTGCAGGAATCCTGCTGCCGTCGCGTGATTTCCTGCTCATTGGGATGGACCGTGCTCGGGTTCGGAGGAAGCGATCCCTCCATGTCAGCCATTCCTCTGGAGCTGTCTTCCCTCCAGGGCCATCTCCAGGGGGATTCTCCCAAACACGTCTCTGAACTGGCCCAAATCCACCCCCATCCTGAAGCATTCTGAAGAGTTACAGGGCTGTAACTCTGCTGGTTTTGCCCTTTTTCCTCTCCTCGCATGATCCCGAACTCCACCACCTCATGGACACGAGTCTCCCCGTTGCACTTTCCAGGAGGGCCCTCGTAGATGTCGTTTCCAAGGGGGTTCAGCCTCCTTCCCAGGACAGAGGGTCCGTTTTGGGGTACAAGCCTTGTTTGCAGTTTTGAGCATCACTAGCCCCATGCACGGCACCCGGTGAGGCAACGACACTGTCGGTGTCAGAGGTTGGAGGCCCAAAATCCCCACGAGGCCACGAGATTTGAGCTCCCATGGAGCTAAGGCCCTCGCCTGGTCCCCTTGCACTGAGCGGGACGAGGGAAGGAAAGCCCGGAGAGCAGCGGGACAGTCGCTTGGAGCTGCTGCATGGAGCCCACAGAGATTCCCTCCTCCTGCACGGAGACCTTCGCCGTAGAGCAGGACAAGGGAAGGATTTAGCACGAGAATTCCTTTAGAAGCAGAAGTTGCGCCCAAAAGAGGAAGAAGAAAATAACCATAAATCCCAAGAAACCTTTATTCGGGAGACATCTCCATGGTGAAAATATATATTGCTTCCAAGGATCATGAACTGCAGATTCAGCCACTGCCAGCTAGGAGACAGAAACTTCATAAGACCGATATTTATTGTTAGCAATAAGAGCAGCACAATTTCACGTTAGCTCTCTATCCGGGACGTGGAATTTTTACCCAAGCGCTGTGCAAAATATAAAAGATTAAAAGAATATAAAAGGCTTTAAAAAGGTGAAAAGGAGCTGCCAATGAGACCTTCCCAGCCCTGCAGTCATCGAGGAGGCTGAGCGAGCTGCATCGCTGGACACGGAGATGGAGCCGGACACGGACCAGTAAATCCTGCAGTGCTGGGGGATGGCGGGGCCCGCAGGGTCCCTCTGCATCCCGAGTTTCCCCTCCGGCTCCTTCTTGGTTCCTCCAGTCATAACTAGAGCCCAAAGACGCATCCTCACCAGGGGGTTATGGGCTGCAGTGGCTGAGATTCTTGCCCAATTTGGGTTGTTTTAGGTCAAAGTGCCACCCCAGACCTCACGACTTCGTGTCGCAGAACCCCAGGGAAGGCGCTGGCTGCCTCCTGCCAACAACGGCTCCGTTGCGCGGTGTCCGGTGTCCCTGATCCCGCATCCCCTTCGCGCGGTGCCCCCAGTGCCGGGGCTGTCTCGGGCTCCCCTTGCACCCGGCTGTGCTGGAGCATCCCGGCGCGGGGGCGTCGGGAACGCGGAGGCGCCCGGAGCCATTCCCGCAGCGGGATCCCACCCGGAGCCCTTCCCA